CACCTGCCCAGGCAGGTCTCGAACCCGCGGGCTCAGGCAATCCACTCACCTCAGCCTCCCAAAGGCACGGGATTACAGGCTGAGTCACCGAGCCCGGCTCGTTCCCTTTCTTTATTTGGTAAATTTCCACTCATCCTTCAAGGCGCAGCTCAAACATCACCCGCATCATAGTCTCCCCAGACTCTCCCAGAAGAGAGATTATCCCCGCTGGATTTCTGACATGGCTCTTGATTTATACCATTAGTGAAACACTCCCATGGTATCTTCAAACATGTCAGTTTATAGATCACACCGCTAGCCTGGGCTATGTTAGAGAGCAATGTTTCTCTGATTCCCTATGCTTAATAGTGCATCTGGCACATAGTAGACATTCGAGACATGATCATGAGTGAATTTTATAACCTGTTCATTGAAGGTCATTCCTTTCAGCAATGGGCAGTAATGTGATTTGGCTGTGTAAGTAACAGCTCCTATGTCATAAAGAGAAAGTGATCCCAGTTACATACATTTTTAGGAGAATGGGATAAAATCCAGGTGCACAGAAATGAAGTGTACACTCTTATTTTAACTAAGACCATGTGCAGAGAAATTGATAGATAAGCATTTTGATCTTTAGTTTGTTTTTTTTTTGAGATCGTTTACTTAGGCTTTAGAGAAGATGAGCCAACAGAATGTGTTTTTGATTGTGTGCCAGTATTTTTGGTAAATGTTTAATTTAAATAACTTTTAGAGTACTTTTATAGACACAATCAGGCTCATACCCCCAAATTACCATGTCAATTAGCAAGAGAGCTCAAAGGAAAAGCAAGAGCTCCAGCCTTCCAGCTCTTGTTCCATCACACTGTGTACCATGAGCAGGGATGGTCTCTATGAAAAGAAGGCATCTAGTGACACATACGGCCAGACGTGGGGGAGGGGAGAGGAGGGTCCCATTCTGAGTTTCAGTCTCATTACATATTATGTAATTTATCATTTCTTTAGTAAACATTTGTTTTTCATATGTTCTCCATGGAAAACATCCATTCATTCATACATTTAAGTAGCAGAAAATGAAGACACATAAGATTTGGTCAAGACTAAACATTCTAACTCTGATAATGATATGCGAGTACTGCCTACCAAGGGCCAACACAATTACTTCATTTTTTTGTTTGTTTGTTTGTTTTTTGTTTTGAGTTGGAGTCTCACTCTGTCACTCAGACTGGAGTGTAGTGGCCGCTCCCGCCTCAATCTTCCAAGTAGCTGGAACTACAGGCACACGCTACAACGCCCGGCTAATTTTTTGATTTACTGTAGAGATGAGGTCTCGCCAAGTTGCCCAGGTGGGTCTCGAACCCACGGGCTCAGGCAATCCACT